TGAGCACAGGGACCTTTTTCACCTTTATGTACATTTTAGTATTATGTTAATAATCTGTGGACTGAAACCAGGGACTGAAACAATCCTTTTATGTTGCTTATTTAACGACGCTGCCAGTATCGAGACTACATAGCGTTGATAGGATGCTTGATGAATGTGGAGCAGCTGGTGGTATGAGAATTGGCAGGAGAAACTGAAGTACTTGGATAGAACCTTCCACAGTGCCACATTGTCCGCCAAAAAAATCCCACATGACTTGACCTGGAGTCAAACCCTAGCCGCTGCTGTAGGAAGCTGGCGATTAACCGCCTGAGTTATGGCACGGTCTTGTAATAACAGTTTATGAAAACATTTGTTATTATATAAAACCAACACAATTGTGCAAGCATAAATGAGAGCATAGTGCAGCAGTAATGAGGTGCTTATGCTTAGAGCGCAGAAAAGTTACCGTGTAACTGAATTATTACTATGTTCCAGGCCTCACTTACCGCCCAGCCCACACTCACGTCCCACAGTAGAAGTAAAAACAGCGTTTTCCAGCCTGGGTCGCAACTAACTTCGTCTCATGTGACACACAACCTAGAAACCCGCTCTACAGTATCAAGTTTCGAATATTTAAAAACGAATCTTGCAACGCATCACCATAATTGACGAAAGAAGACCGAAATTTGACTAACATAAGACAATCGTGGCCACACGTGCAAAAGTGAGAGATGTGGCATTAGTTCTGACCGCGTGGTCCTTGTTATTTTTCTTTTGAATTTATTGCGAAGTTGGGGCACTCTGCTACAAGCCGGAAGGTCTCGGGTTCAAGTCCCGATGAGGTCATTGGATTTTTAATTGACCTAATCCCTCCAGCCGCACTATGGCCCTGTGTTCGACTCAGAGTCTAACAGAAATGAGTACCAGTAATCTTCCTCGGGGGTAAAGGGCGGCCGGCGCGTAAGACTGACAACCTTACCGCCATCTGTGAGCCGATTATCTAGAGAAAATGTGGGATCCTCGACGTCTCACAACTCCATGGGCCTCCACGGCCTGTTACAGGGATAGCTTTACTTTACTTTTTTTATTGCGAAGTGCCGGATTCTATTTATTGTGATAACTTATCAGTGCATAAACCGAAATCATTATGGGATATGCTGTGTTTTGTGTAGCTAGTGTTTCTGGACTCTAGGGCACAGTTTGGACGGTTTGGACCGCCTACTCACAACTCATTCCACCCTCCGACCCATCTATACCGATCCTAACACACCACAAGTGCACCACTTTGTTGTAAAGATATACACGTACGTAAATTGCATGCGTTCCAAACCAATAGAAAAGCGGCATGAAGCATGTCGCCTTCTGGGATGTAGCGGCGTGTGGAGGAACGTATCGCCTCCATCTTCAGGATATAAGAAATCCGCGAGCGATGAACCAGCGTGAGCAGGTGTCTATAGACTCCAGCTCAAATACCCTGAAGATGGAGGTGATACGTTCCTCCGAAACGTCGGTTAACAAAATATCTACACGGCTCCACATCCCAGAAGACGGCATTCTTCATAGTCACCGCCGTGAAAACCTAAAATCTTACAGTAGAAAGCTTTTTATAACCCTGAACTTACCTTCTTGTGAGTTTAACTTTTCTTTATTTGTTCACTTACAGTTTCATGACAGATTAGGATAAGTTGGCAAATTTCTGGTGTTTAGGCAAAGCTAAAAGAAAAGAGGTAAACTTGGGCCGGTGCTTAACCAGTTACGCACTACGCTATTAAGACGTATGGGGGAGTGTAGGTATAGCTCCACCATTGACAACTGTAGTAGATTTTGACAGGTCAGCTTCATGTCCTGACTCCTGTACCCCCGGTAACCACTGGATGGGGGGGCTGAGTGGGCCCCAAAACTGGTTTGGATATTGTAGAGTATCGAAAAATGTTTTGCCGCTGCCGAGCATCGAACCCAGCCGTCCATCCCATAGCCCGTCGCTATACCAATTCAGCTATTCCAACTCCTGATATTCTTTAGGCCTGTAGCGACATTTGTGCTGCCCAAAGGCAAAAATGGCCCCCCCGAGGCCCAATTACAGGGCATTCCTGAGCAACCCATGCCGCCCTGCTACCTATGCCATTGATCGTAAAGAATGCATTATTATGTCCGTTGCAGTTTACACTTTGGGGTGTCGGAATTCGACCCCCCTCCCGTTCCTACGCTCCGGCTTCCTGTATAAATTACTATTCCTATGGCACAGAACTCATCTGTTATACATCAGCGTTTTAATTATGCTTTCCTGTTGTTGCTTCTGATAATTATATTGGTCTCTTGTTTCTATTCCACTCTCCTATCTGCTTGTCATACTCTCACATTTCTCTTTATAAATAATCATATTACATTCCAGTGGTTCTGTATGGGTGTGAAACTTGGTCTCTGACATTAAGGGAGGAACATAGACTGAGGGCGTTGAGAATATTTGTACTGAAGAGGGATGAAGTGACAGGATGTTGGAGAAAACTGCATAATGAGGATGAGATGGGCAGGGCATGTAGCACGAATGAGGGAGAAAAGTAATGCATAAAGAATATTGGTGGGAAAGCCAGAAGGAAAGAGACCACTGGTAAGACCAAGGCGTAGGTGGGTGGACAATATTAGAATGGATCTTAAAGAGATAGGATTGGATGGAATGGATTGGATTGATCTGGCTCAGGACAGGTACCAGTGGAGGGCTCTTGTGAACATGGTAATAAACCTTCGGGTTCCATAAAATGCTGGGAAATTCTTGAGTGGCTGCAGATTTGGCTTTTCAAGAAGGGCTCAGCTCCGTAAGTAAGTAAGTAAATACTAAAGAGTTCTTTGTCACTCTCTGACGCTCCCTGTATGCATGCCGCTGCTTATCTTTAATATGTGTGCAGTGTAACAGCTACTGAGAGTATACACCTGATGATGGCCATTTACAGCCGAAACATGTAGTGTAGAAGAAAAGAAAACAAAAGAACTACAATAAATTGTTGCACTTAGGACAGAGTTTGTGTCATACATTGTGTAGAGTGTAACAGGATGCTTAAATATAATATTGCAATATATTTGTTTGATGAGAGCTGCTCTATACTTCTTGTTTATGTTTACATTTTATGAATGATCAACTGGTGATGTGTTTGTGGGCCTGGGATGGCAACCTTAACATGTATCATCGCATTCATAAATTTTAGTGCCCAGCAACGAAAGTGTATTACCGCAAAGTATGTCATACTGTTAATTACCACCCTAGCAATTATGAATCTGAAATTATTCGTTGTTATCCTCCATATAATTGTCAAAACCAATATATTGTAACATTATATTATACATCCCTTATGGATTGATAACACACATGGCTTCAAACAACAGAATGTATGCACAAAAGTCATATCATAATACATGAAGGCATAACAAAGCAAGTACCATATACCTTTCTTTCCTCTCAGCCTTTTGAAATCTTTAAAATTAGAATAAAAGTGGCTTTCTGTTCATACAAAAACCAGTCCTCCACTCAATTGAACTAACTGCAAAACAATTAAGACACAACCTGTTAACACGTGTAAACAACGTTGCTATGTAGCTGCAGTGACGTCAAGACAGCACTACTGACACTACTGACAGCCTGTCGATCCTGTCCTACCACCAGTCAGTGCTCCCCCCCCCCCAAAAAAAGCGGGAATGGAGTTCTGAAGAATAACCACACTTCACTCATTTTTAGTATAATGCTTACAGAAGCAAATTTAAAGTTGGAGTTTTCCAGTAAGATAAGGCATCTCATTATCTTATCTTCAGAAATATTTAATATACAATATATCTTGTATTTTAAGAAACTTAAATAAGAATGAAAGAGAATTATTCAGAACCCTTTCTGATGTGACAAAAGAACTTCTTGAGAACATTATATTGTGTAATTTATCTTCATTGCCTCAGTTTTACAGTTGCTTTCCATATTCAGGACTTTTCCAAAATCATCACTATCATCATCGTCGTCGTCCTCAACATAGCTGCCTGTGCTGCCACCACCACCACTACTACTAGTTTGGTCTGGAGATATGGTGATGAAAGGGAATACCTTGTAAATAGTTTCTAATTTAGGAGTGCACAAAAGTTTGGTGAAAAGAAAAAGCCTTTTTATGACTTGTATTTAATAACTTAATTATAATTTTAATATACAGTACACGTTATTTTAGTTCAGACAAGTGTCGGATACAATATACATTAATTTGAATATGATTATATTTAAATTTATAACAAATTCTCTTATATAGCTCAGTTTACAGGAGCATCTCAGGAGACACCTGGTTCATTACATACATGTATGACATGGTGGCATGAAATGTTCTTAGTTCTTACTTCTTTTATGGCAAATTCAAGCAGATCCAGATACAGGTTGAGAAGTAGATTCACAAACCTTTGGATATAGAATGTGTCACATATTAGAAAAAATGTTCTAATTAATCATTGGAACAAGTCTAGGTAACCTAATATGAAATATATATAACACAGACATAGAACATAAATAAATATCATTACAAAAATTGAATGCAAATGAAAAACGTATTAACCATTTATACAATAAAATTCCTCCAGTGCAAAACCAGATATCTTCTTAATGTAGTATTATAGCGGCCTCCGTAGTCTAGAGGTAACGTTCCCACCTCATGACTCGTGGTACGCGGGTTCATATACCCAGCGGAGGTCGTCGAATTTTTAAGGGCGGAAAAATTCAGGGAACAAGTCCTCCGGGAGGGACTTTAAGCTGTGTGTCCCCATGTCGTAACTTTACGGCACGTAAAAGAACCTCATATCCCCAAAGGGGATCACTGAGCCAAATTCCAGGACGTTTCCCGCTCAACAATAGCCTCTAAGGCCTCTGATAGATGGGGGAAGCATTATAGACACCGCTAAGCAAGTGGCCGAACTCGCTTGCTCGGCGGTACTGATGGTACGCACCATTTATCGGTAGGGTATAGAGACTGCTAGAATATCATAGAGGGAAGCACAATAGATCAAACTGGTTGCGGTGCATGGGGAAACCCACCCTCTCTAACTAACTAACTAACTAACTAATGTAGTATTATAGTCAACAAATCCCTGGATGCTGTAAAATTTTGTTAGATACAATTTAGCATTTCTTCTCGATCAGTATTCTTTCATGGACAGAACAACTCTGAATCAAAGAAGAGAGATTCACTAAAATTGAATTTCACTGTTGTTTAAAGTCGTCGCCTTCTACATCTTGATCCTCGTCACAGTCTTCCTCTTCAAAATTTGCACCTTCAAATTCATCTTTCAAAAATCTGTTCTTTTTCCTCCCAGTTTCTTCCGAACTTGCTACTTCAGGCTTAATTCCATATTCTTCATCTTGTTCTGATGCTTCTGTTTCAGCCTTCAGAGCAGCCAGTTCCTGTAAGATCAAATGTAAAAAAGATATACCTCTAATGTTACAGTTATGATTTATTTTATCCGTCTTCTAGTGCATACATTCATCTATCCCCTCTTCTCACTCGCACTACATGTTTCGGCACAAAAGTGCCATCTTCAGGTGCTGATCCAATCCACGACAAACTAGTTCATTGCATGCCTTGTCTATACATACTAAAATAACTAAAATATATAACACACGCAGTCACAGGAGCAAGACGCAACACAGAGCACAATACACGATAGTGAAAGAGTGCTCCAACAGAAGATGATAGACGTGACTCGCGTAATGAAACACGACGTAGGAATGAAATATCCTGTACAATTTTAATATTTTAACACTTAACATTTATCAGTATATATGATAAATATATATTTTAGTTATTTTAGTATGTATAGACAAGGCATGCAATGAACTAGTTTGTCGTGGATTGGATCAGCACCTGAAGATGGCACTTTTGTGCCGAAACATGTAGTGCGAGTGAGAAGAGGGGATAGATGAATGTATGCATTAGAAGACGGATAAAATAAATCATGGACTTAAATCAGTGCAACAGGACGCTAAAATATAACATCTCTAATGTTACAGTTATGAAATGAAAATGGTGTTAAAGATGTACATCATTTGTTATGTGAAACAATAAGTTAAATTTAATCGGTCTTGTTTCGTCATAGAAAAGGGTGTAGGGTGTTATAGGTAGCTAAACTATATATAATATTTGGGTTGCAACCAAAAAATAATATAAGAGTCAGACTTATTCAAGCATGAAGCAAAAATCAGAGTCGTTCAGTCATGACACCAGGCCCACTGACCTACTAACTTGGTTGCCTATAACTATTTCATTTACTCAGGTATTAAGCATGTGAAAGACATATTACCCTAATCTAATATTAAACATGTATCACTTGTATTCACTTCATGAAGTCTTTGAAATTTAACAGTTTCTTTAAACATCCGATTACTCTCCAGCTTATCAGACTTCACAGACCTTCCTTCTTCTTCCTTCTCCCACAAGCCTTAACCAAACTGCTGTTCAGGCAGAAAAATCACGAGTAGTCTAGCTATTCACTTAGTAGAGTTAGGGTCTGCAGATTAAATATTACCATTTCAATAACAGTGAAGAATTCTTTCTCGGCATTCTGGACTGCTGGATCTGAAATTAAGGATGGTTTATTCAACGTTTCTCTTTCTAAAATATCTCGGTGTGAGTTGTCAGCAATCTTTGTTCTTTGACGCAGTCTTATTTCTCGATTTCTTGCTTCAAGAATCTTTTCGCGGCGACCTTCGCGATCCAACATCTGGAATTAAAATTTATGTTCTTATAATCTAGTTGCAGATTAACTTGGAATTATAAGCAAGTTAAAATGTGCATTCTGATGATATCACTAATGTAGAATTCTGGTAAATATATATTACCATCTCAATGCAAATTTTATTTCTGTCATTAGTATATGTCATGCCTTACTACGACATAAGGGGGCACGTGGTAGCATAGTTGGTTGAGGCACTATGCTGCAAGCCAGAAGCTTGCGGGTTAAAGTCCTGATGAGGTCATTGGGTTTTATTCAATTGACCTAATCCTTCCAGCCACACTATGGCCCTGAGGTCGACTTGGCCTCTAACCGAAATGAGTACTAAGAATATTCTTGGAATATTCTTGGGGGTAAAGGGTGGCCGGTGCATAGGGCTGACAGCGTTGCCGCCATCTATGAGCCAATTGTCTAGAAAATGTGGGAACCTCAACATCTCACAACCCTATGGGCCTCCATGGCCTGTTACAGGGATACCTTTACTTACTTACTACGACATATTCTGACTGTATACGGTCATCATCAGGTATATGTTTTCTTATTAAAGCACTACACAAGTGGACAGCTCAATAACATAACCAGAAAGAGAGTTGTAATGTTTACATGCCAGTACAATACATTAGACCAACACTTACACGAGCAGAATATAAAAATATAAACATGTACTTGATGATGGTCATATATGGCTGAAACATGTTGTACTAGGATAGGATATACACTAAAGACAGAANGGTAATGTTTACATGCCAGTACAATACACTAGACCAACACTTACACGAGCAGAATATAACAACATATGTAGTGTCCACATAAGACAACCAAATGGAGCACAAAAGATTCCACACTTTAACAAATATTTTATGAAACTTTAAATTAACATTATATTAACATATGATATGCATTTGACGTGCAGTGAAACAATTTTAGCAAGAAAACATGTACTTGATGATGGTCATATACGGCTGAAACATGTTGTACTAGGATAGGATATACACTAAAGACAGAAATAGAAGTAGCATTGAGGCGGTAATATATATGTAATAGTCTTTACACTGATGCAAGAGGACGTTTAAGTATCATACTGTTACTAGGCAATGCCCACGAAATAAACAGCCATACAACAGCTGCAACAGGTAATGGCTGCAACAGACACACACAAAACAATGGAAAAGCTGTTGGGAGCAACGTTCTCTGTGTGGTCCATGCTGAGGCTATATAATGAGGGCCAGCTGCCATTAGAGGTTCCAGTCACGAGTCCCAAGGGGCTTGATTCCAATATGAACTGATCGGCCGTAAACTGCCAGTCATAAAAGTAATTTGACTCTGAATTATTGGAGAGTCTTGAGTCTTGAGACAGCAGTTAGAAGAATATGAGGTTGGTATGGAATGGCTGCCAGGCCGTGAGGACATGAGCCTGGGAGCAGAGGAATGTCCACTGGTGAAGACACAGCAGTCTGAGAAGACTTAGTTTGTGCTGTGTGCAGTGTGCGAATTAGTGACAGCACTATAGATACTTTCAGTTACAATCTTTAAGAAACCATTAAATGCAATTGCCAATTCAGACCGTGTCTGCAGTCACTCCAATCACATAACAATATTACTGACAAAGAAACTGCATACTTGAAATATGAAAATTAGATGGAATGTGATTTTATAAGTTTTGGTAAATAGCACTTATAAGAACTGCAGTATCCAAATTTCCTTTCCATTTAGAGTTTTAACTTACAGCAGTTAACAGCACTTTGTCATTGCGTTGTGTTGCAGCAAGATTTTCAGAGAACTCCGCAAGGTATGAAGTCCCCATATTGTTACCAACTGCAACTAACTGACCCTGGTCATGTACTCTGAGGTTACTCAATTGATAATCACAAACCTGGAATACACACAGAATATTTATTAAATATGATAACTTCTGCAGCTTGTATAATAATATGCTAGCTACCATGACCTTGGTTTTAAGACCTTAATTGGTTGGCAGAATTAGTATGCTGTATCAGTAATATCCTTGCTGCAAATTTCTGTATTCACCCAAATTATATGAATTTAAGGTTCTTAGTCTCTTTTAGCCAGTCCTTTCTTCCAGCATGGACTACCATTTGGCAGACAAAAAAGCATCTACAAGAGTCTGTACATGAGGTGAGCTGTTTGTTCTGAAATAGCAGGTTTGAGCGTCATTCTGCAATCAGTATATCCACCATCACACAAATCTAATATATGGTTACTAATTATGTACATGTTTTATCACTACTAGCAACATGTTCTGACTTGAACATCATCATCAGGCTTTATTATATCCATTCAAATGAAACTGCTATTACTGTTGATGTTGTAGATACTGGCCAGCATATTATCAGGTTTTGTGCTAATTTATATTTAAAAACTTTGTAAAATTATGTAATCAGTATAAATACTTGACATGTGAACCAGATACTTTAACAGTGACTTATACAAAATTATATATTTTATAATAATTTTAAAACACTTATTTAATGGGTCAAACTTTTATCAATTAGTATGAGATTCTCTCATGCCTTATTCTGAATAATATATTAGATTATCAGTTCGTTTTCCTTCCTTCAATATATGCTTTACCTTTACACTGATCACTGCTTCCTTTTGATTCCGCAGAATATCCCAAGCATCAAGTGAACCATCCATTCTTGTAGTAAAGAACACAGAAGATCTTGTTGGACTCCATGCGCCATCTGTAAGTTGAGCTTGATGATTGCTACACAATCAACAGAAAAGTACCATCAGTCATGTAACTTTAACACATATATTCCTGCTGTTTTCTTATGGTTTTCTGGCATGTGTGGAGGGTGGAACATGAGAAAGAGGAATAAGGAGTGAGAAACAGGATTACTAATGAGAGATCTAAAACAATTAAAAATCATATATAAACTGATTAGGATTGTTGTCTTATTTGACAGCCATAATTATGTATGAATGAATGTAGGTTTTATTTCTTCCAGTGTGTGTCACATGGACAGTGTTTATGAACAAAGTATGAATGAAAATGTCACAAAAAGTGTTCTGTCATAAAACAGTGTAATGAACCACTTGGAAAAGTAAGTACTAAGAGGAATTCACTTCAGTTTCACAGCCATACAGTTAATAGAAAGCAACAACATGTCTAATCTAATCAGAGTCTGCAACTGTTATATGCACTATTTAACAAACATGTTTTGAGAATACACTATCAGTCAACCTGGTGTATCTATTTCTTCAGAGTAACAATGTTTTTCATTCTGTTTTAGAAAAACTGAATGAATAAGTAAAGACTCAGTTATACCTGGGGCTGTGTATGAATTTCATGGTCAAGGGGAAAAGAGGAAGGCAGTAGCAGAAGCAGAATTGGAAAGGAATAAAAGGAAAAATAATAGACAATTAGGGAATGTGTACACTGTGGCTATGAATCTGGATGTCAGAACTAGAAGGGTCAAAGAGAGAGGTTGTTCCAAGTGCGCCAAGAAGTTTACCACAAATTTCAGTGAACACGACAGGCACCACATTCACAAAGCATACTGGGCGCTTGGGAATACTGAAATTAATCGACAGTACCTGAGGTATTTATTTGAAGAATGCAGAAAAGAGAGTGAAGGGGGTTAACAAAGTGAAATGTTATGTGGGGGATGAAGCTGCAGGAAAAGGGGCTGAATTGAATTTGCATCACGCATGTCTGACTTTCTTGGAGATGTGGCACATGACAAAGTGATAACATTGTTTTCTGATATCCGCAGTGACCACAACAAGACCGTTAACATATTATAATGTTTCTGCACACTGTGAAAACTTTGAGCATACTGACAATAAACTAATGCTTTTTGAGCCATGGTGCTCGGAAAAGGAGGTAGGCTCCATGCATACCAATACTGAAAAACACATTAGACATGCTGATATATGATGTATTTGACCCTGTGGGCTGTTATACCATGGTATGTATGACATCAACAAAGCACAATTTAACAGAGATGAAATATGTTACTTTCACTGAACTTGAGAAAGGAAAGATAGAAAAAAACGAAGGTTGATGTAAATGAGGAGACTGTAAATTGTATGGCTACAACACAGTAACGATGGACCTCAACATATATTTCTTAAATGTAAATGAGTTTACGTACTGCAGCGAACTGAACATCAAGCTTCAAGTAGCTTGGTCCCTTACCAGTGAGCGCAAAGAAGGCAGTATATCTGAAAAATTTATGACAGAAATGTATAAAACCGAAGAAGTACCACAAGTTTTATAAAAATCTTACAGCAAAGAGTAAAGTAATGTGGATGACTAGAAGGAATAAAAATACGATTTTAATAATAAGTGTGTTCGCTCTTTTCTTTCTACTTGATTTACTTTCGCAAATTTATTACAAACATTGTCATCGTCATCATTGTTGTTGTTATTCTTGTTGCCGTTGTGTTGTCATTGTTGTTGTTGTTATATTGTCTATTATCATCAGCAACATGGTTTTCATATCAGTTTTTCATGTAATTTGATTACTTCCAAAATATTAAAGTAACTGCAGATGATTATTCTAATATTAAATTTTTATGAAAGGAAATAAGGGTTTTTGGAAAAATAAGGAAATTTTTTATATTGTGACAATTTAAGTGACCCTTGGATTAGGTATTGGATTTACTGACCACTTTAACACACAACTCGCAATTACACTTAATTATAACGACATCACTTATTTCCAAACTTCACAAATTATGACAGCACACACTGTCTTTTCAAGCCTGCACTGTCTTCATTAATAGTTGCCGTTCCCTTGCAGCGGCCATCTGTTCTTGCTTATTAAGAATCTGCTGCCTAGCAATGGATGGTGTTACCTTGTTTCTTTCACGGCCATTGCCTAAATATGAATGTTGTTTCATAGCTGTTTGCTAGCAACGGTCTCTCTCCAGCTCCACAATTCTTGCTTGCCTCTGACTTGAGACTTTCCTGGAATGGTAATATTGGGTCGTTCTAATTTATTCACAAGAGGTGTTGTCATCATGTTTTATAAAACATATTGTGGCATATTTGTTCCAAGCAAGAACTGTGGAGCTGGAGATGGGCCGTTGCTAGCAAAGGACTGTTAAACGACAAATTATATCTGAATATGTTTTAAATTGACAAAAAGGGGTTTTAAAACTTATTCATTGCTAAACAACAGATAAATAATGAGGCCAGTGGATACTGTAACACGATTTGAGCCAGTGTTTCTAAACAGTGTCTGTTTGATTACTGCAGACTTTAAAATCATTTTCTCAAAACACAGCTGGTCCCAAGCCAACACTATCTTCTTAACAAAAATGTTGAAATGGTTTACTGCATTCCTGTCAGTATACACAGAATAATGGCTTACCATGTCCACATTATTGATGACTCCTTGCAGTCTTCTGACCAAATGCGTGCCATCCAGTCTCCAATAGTAAGAAAATTCTTAACAAAAGATGGATTTCTCTGAAGGGCATATACAGGCCCAACATGTGCAGTATACTTGGACACAATTTTTTCAGCAGGAGTTTTGCCTTTACGGTTACAACTAATTACACACCCATTCTCTGTACCGACCATAAATCGTGTTGGAATTGTCCCTTCATATTCAAGACACGAAGCTCCAAGGGCTCGACTTAGAATTTGCTCTTCACCTTTGACTATGTCAAGTATTAGTGTTTCACTTGGTTCATTCAGCTTCCTTGTATCCCACCATTTAACCTGTTAAATAAAAATGAAAATATTATAAATTAAACTCAGTACAATCTTTCCATTCAACATAGCATTAAGAAGATATAGAAGAAAAATATATATTTCAAAATTGCTCATTATTTTCTTCCGAATATTTTTATCTGCATTATATAAAATACTAGCAATGCCCATATGCAGATGAGCATACCTACAGCCACCATCCAAAAGACAATTTGGCCAGTGGCCCATAGGTGTAGAATTTGCAAGCTGGAAAAAGCATTGTCATACAGTCTGCAATTAATATGTAAGCTGGCATAAATATGCTTCTTGTTTGTAATTCTAACTTACCCACAATGAGAGAAATGAAGATACAAGTAACACATTCATACAACATGTAAGTTCCCAAACACACTCTTAAGATAGCAGTTACGGTGAACTCCAGCAAGCATCATGCAGCCTCTACCTTACAATTTCATACGTATAAAGCGATAAGTAAATTATAGAAATCATTTATTAATTCAATTTTTATGTTGGTCACATACAACACAGCTGCGATAGCTCAGTCAGTATATTGACGTGCTATGTGCTAGATGATGGATTCAAAATTTCTCTTCTCTACAACATCCAGACTGGGGCTGTGGCCCACCCAGACTTCTAGCCAATGGGTACCTGGAGCTTTTTCCCCTGGGGTAAAGCATGAGGGGTGTGAAGCCGACCACTCACCTCCATTTAGTGCTGAGGTCAAAAATGGTACAGCTATACCTCACTCCCAACATACATCTTCATGGTGTTGAGCTTAATTAATTAATCTCAGGGACAACTTAACTTTTAACATATACAATCCAAATATACTCACTGCTGTTTTAAATATAATATCAACAACCCTGAATTAATTCTTGCAACAGTTACAAACAGCAAAACTGTCCTTTGGCATTTAAAAACCATCTTCAGTGTAAAACAGTTACCTTACATGTGTGTAGTAAACATCCGGTGCATTATGCTTACTGCTTATGCGAGTAAGAAGTCATGGCCACACCAAGAATAGTGATAATCAATGCAAACCCAGTGCACATTCTACAGGCTTAAGGTTAGGTATAGTGTTGGTATAGTGCACAATATGTGCAGCTGAATGACACTGAACATGGCATTTTACATGCCAATCCCCTATCAAGAACAAATGTAACAGTGAATAATGTGTTGTGGGTATCTTATTTAAAATCTAATGGTGTAGCACACTACAGTTTGGAACATAAACTTTCCATTTTACAGCTTCACTGGGCTTCTGGTTCAGCCACTGCCAATGCTAATCATGTAGCAGAAAGATTTAAACAGATTTAGCCTTGTATCATTATATATATCAGATCACTGATTTAAATCTTTTATATAATCTCTTTCTGAAATAAGCTGCCCTGTCTTATGTCTGCAATGTTCTACCATCATTCATAACCCTCAAAAGTAAATGTTGAATGAATGTGTGTTGAATCAAATTGACATCCCATATCCCTTGAAAGATTTAATTTGCCAGTCAGTTACTACTGAAATAAAGGTTGTGCCATAGCTCAAGCAGTTAGCCGCTGGCTTCCCACCATGGCAGCCCGGGTTCAAGCCTGGGTCTAGTCATGTGGGATTTGTGATGGACAAAGAGGCGCTGGGGCAGGTTTTTTCTGAGTACTTCGGTTTCCCCTGCTAATCTTCATTCCACCAATTGCTCCACAATCACCATCATCTGTCATCTGGGGCTGGTACAATCAGCCGCCATTAGTGGCTGGAGTACCAAGTGGACTCATCCCACTAAGAAAAAAAATACTACTGAAATGTCTACAATTATGCTCTTTCTGTAACAGAAACAGAAATAAATTAATGTATGTAGTTGGTTCCATTTTGTTACAGATAGAAACACAGCACTGCAAAGATATTTTTGTGATTTAGATAGAGGAAATTAAAATTACAATTTTTTCTTTATGTTTTGTTAAATGGTTACATACCAAAAAATACTTATGAAATACAAAACTTTTTTATATAATGAGACACTTTGAAAAAAAAACAATAAAATCTTATTTCAGCTTCATGTAAAGTATGGTGTATTTGACAGATACAAATTCAAATAAAAACTGAATATAGTGTGTTTGCTCTCATATTTAAAAGAAAACATTAAACATGTGCCATAGTAAGAAACACAATAAATCTACTGATTAATTAACCAGTTCAAAGTTAGCAAATATTCAGCCCCAACAGCTTACCAAACCATAAAGATGCTTGGATACATCAAAAACAAACAAACATGAACAGCAAGAAGTAAAATGTGAACTTTTGGAACAGGTTCCTGCATATTGCATGATGGCCAGCTTGACTTAACAATAATTTGCTTCACTGATTTATAATGGTTTAAGTGATCATTAGAGCATTCAGAATAATAGATTTATGTTTCCTAAAAGTTTCATTTAATACAGTCTGTTTGTAGAATATCATGTTTAGTTTCTGGTACGTAAGCAACAGTCATCACATCTGTTGTTAATATCACACATGTCTGTCAGTCATGTTAAGGATGAGAGCTAATGAAGAGCTATATAGGATTTGAGGTTCTCACAGTGGTGGCTACAAAGCATTCTATCTTCTGGAATATAATGCTCTGTAGTCCACAGAAAGTAACAAAGTGAGCTCTGTTTGATACATGTTTCATGCTGGTTTCTCGCTTGGCTTATTCTTCAGTTGACTTTCAATAGACTACAGTGTTATATTCCAGAAGGCAGAAACTATAATGATTAGCCAACAGATGTTAGAAGTGCCAGTCTGGGTGATTCTGGATCTAGAATTAAAGTCAGGGCTCTCTGAAGGGCTTGAACAAGATAAGGGGTACATAATTTACATGGAAGTAGGGTGAAGTGCTTGCAATGATGGGAGGTTGTCTCCCCCCCCCCTTCCACAACTTTTTGCTTTGAGGACTTAATTTAAAATTTATATTTTTTAATATAATTGTGAACATGTCTTGTGGATACTTTTAGTGATGGTACTGTGTGACATGAAGTGTCTTCTTTTCACTCATCAACCTTAACCCTCTGTCTCACTGTGGCACAGTGTGACAGAATATCCACTTTCACAAAACGGTATGAAGAAAATATCTGCAAATCTTTTGTATCATTGCCATGTAATACAGTACACACATATGCCAGACAGATGCAGTAATCATTTCATCATTTTGGAAACATTCTTAAATCTACTATGAATCAAATCTAGAGGTAGACCCTTCTTGATGATACATCCCCCCATGACATGGATGCAGGGGTTGGACTTTGGGAACAGTTTGTTTGTCAACCCACATAAAACAGAAATGATGCTAAAAGCAGGAGGAGAATAAGAGGAAGAAGCTGCAGTAAGTAAAGATGAATATTTCTTACCTGTCCATCAGTAGATGATGAGAAAAACTCAGTTCCTGACTTGGAATTTATCCATAAAACACTGTATACAGGATCTCTGTGACTAGGCTCTAAAATGCTCATATCCACAGGTGTTGAGCCTTTTCTTACATCCCAGAATGCTACCTGCCCACTGAACATACCACTGACTAAGCAGTTCACATCTTTAGGGTTATATTCCAGGCAGACTATAGGCACTGAAGGCTTCAATATTAGCTGAGGCTTATTTGGATTTTCTGCAGGGAAAGCAGTAACTTAGATTAAACAGCAAATCTAATGCTCTGCTTTGCCATTTAATTGTACCATATCCTGACAGTGGCAGGCCAAGTAATTTAAATGCCTTTTGAATCATTATGTCTTACTAAATGAGGCATGGCAACAGCCATGTCATGTTACTGTGTTCTGCTGCTGCCATAATATGTGACACAGGTTTAATACATAAAGTACTCTGCACATAAAAATTTGCAGTTCACTGAAATAATACAGGAGAATAATAACAAGACAACTAATATTATCTGTTGGCTGTGCTATGCATAATCAGGGAATGTTAGCTAAGGGACAATATGCATCATCTGATATCTATCCTCTACTATATTTTGGAAATGTCTTTGAAGGTAATATTTACAGCAGCAGAAATGCATTTCATAAGGAGGAAACCAAGAGACACCCTTTCAAACATTACAAGAAATGAAATTATAATAGAACTGCAAATTCCACAAATACAGAAGAAATGAGAAAGACCCATTGACAGGATGAACTCTGACAGGATAAGAAAAGAAAAAGATATTAAAATACCAGTCAAAAGGAAAAAGACGTTGAGGAAGACCCTGAAGAGATGGTTATTATAATTGGTGGTGGTGGCAAATGGCGATAGTAGTGCTGGTGGTGGATGTATGACCTACTACCCAAATTACTTTAAAATACTGTAGGCAATGTGCAAGAGTAAAATTGGAAGTTTGAGTAACATATTGTGGTGTTCTGTGCTGCTGATGAATTATGAAAGTGCATCTTCAACTACTGTAGATTTAATAGAGAAAGAACGTGTTAAAAGTTGCAGGCAGGTGATTTAATATTGAACATACTGATGTCACTGGTTTATAATTTATTAAATTCCTGTACAGTAATTTGCTAGACCAAAGCCACTAACATAGTGTGATGACAGCAATGAACAGTAAATAATATGGTATTACCTGAACAAGTTCTTGGAATTGCTTTTAAGATAAGTACAAAGTTTCCAACCACTGAATGTAAACATATCTATGGTACTGTTACCTATATTTGAAGAGGTGGCAGACAGCTGGACAAACATACATATCTCACTAACAGAGTTTGAAAGATGGAAAAGGATTCCTCTGGAAGCTCAAAAACCAAAAAAATGCTGTCCCTTATTGCTTTTTACTCTTACTGAAGTCAACTTTATCACCTGTCACTCACCTACTTCCCATATATAGGAGAATGTGGACAGATCAGGTGATCTTCGTTGGAATTCTAAGTTGCAATGTGATACTGCCAGCCGAGTTCCACCATCAGGAGACCATGACAGATGAGTGACAGGCCTCTTCACTTTATTTGGATCTCGATAAACATTCAGTGTACGAGCTGAACATCGTTCCATAAGTGTAGCTGATTCAACATCTTCAAAATATTCTTCATAAATATTAATGGCATTGTTTTGCAGTATACAGTGTTCCATTGCCTAAAATGAGTAAGTTCCATAATATTGTAAAATGAATTTTGTATTAAGAATTAACTGAAAGGAAGCCTGATATCAAAAATAAGGAAATTTCATAAGTCAGAGCATATACCAGAATAATAATCACTTTCTATTTACAGAAGGTATTTATTTTTTAAGTATATCTTGCTGGTTGTATCAGATTACAGAGGTCTGTCACTTGTTATTTCATCAGTTGGAATGCGAAAGATTCCAGATTCAAATTTTCAGGCTGTTCACTCATAAGTTTACAAAGTTCTCACTGTTTATTTTATCTCGAAATATACTGGTACAAAATTTGGTCATTACATATTTTCCATTTTGCATATACTGTGTTTTTCGTATATAGTCTCAGACATTTCCATGAAGTTTTCAGTGATTTTCTTCACTCCTTCCAGACAAACACTATGATAGTATTTACTGTACAGTAGATTACATCAACACAATTCCTATGTAAATTAAATAAATAAAAAGTCAACAACATTTAAAAACTATAAGAACAGTAACATTATTAACTAAAAAGCAAGCTTATAGACATATAACACAGATCTTCAGGTAAAGGTGACGTTGTCCCTGTGCTTAACTAGTACAATAGGAAGGAGTATAGGGGAGTGGATGTACAAGTACAGATCCATGTTTTCTAGACCTTGGCATTGGTTGGAAGTTAGTGGTCAGATTCATGCTACAGCCATTTTACCCCTGAGAAGAGCTCCTAGTACCAATTGGATAGGAGGCTGGGTGGGCCCCAGAGCTGATTTGAATGACGTGGATAACACAGATCTTTATTAAATGAAACTGACCAGATAATGACAACAAAATCAGACAACCCCCACCACAAGAAACAAGACAGTCAGCAAAAATAAGAAACTACCACCCAAGTAATCACATAAAAAGGGGACAATAACAAAAAGGCAAGATTAGCTCACAGAATCATGCCACTGGGACCTAATAAACATCAATGTGACTAAGGAAACCATCTGAAAATTCCAAGCATTCAAAAGGAAAACATCAAATAAGGTTGATTAAATAATCAACAAAAACAAAAATAAAAAATAAGGAAGTTGTAAAGGAAGTGGCTGTGGTTGAAGCAGTAAAGAGAATAACCTACAAATGCAACCAAGAGACTCAAAAACACAACTTGAAATTTTCCTCAGCAGAGAAGTGGCTTACTCACCCAAGTACATAATTGAATTTGGAAGCCAAGAAGCAGGAATAATCTGAGTGCCTATGGGATAGGTGTGCCCCATGACCTAGGCTGCAGGGAGGAAGGTAAAGAAAGGAAGGAAGGGGTACATTCAGAGCCGTAAAAACAGTGTTGCAAAATATGTCTATTTATTTATATGTCATATATTTATATCCAGTGCTTGAGGTGGAATGAAAATAGAACCAGGATGCCATCCCGCCCCACCTCAAGCCCTGTTTATATCTTTATATAAAGTAATGGTTCATGTCCAGTTCAGATCAATATTCCATTTTGTGATGAATTTTAGCAAAGGTTCTAAAACAAATGTAACAAAAATGTGTACAGGTGTTCGATTGGAGACTGCACAAGTATCTACTGGACAACACGGCTTTATATCTCAGAAGACAGAAATCTTCATAACCCAAATTTGTTCATCTAGGTGGGCAACAGGATGCAGCGAAGCCAATTGGTGCTTATGCTTTATTGCAATTGATGTTTTGTTGTACTTAGCCTGATTCTTCAGGAAGTCAGAAATGTGTTCTATTTTACTTTCTTTGTGGGTTTCCAAAGAAAAGTCTGTGTTATTACAAATCAGATATATATATAGTAATTCAGAATTGTAAACATGTCTAAATAGTCTTGATAGGATGCTTTACTCACATGTGTAAGCTGTAACACAGTATGAACATACATCTCATCTTTTTCAATCTTCTTCTTAAACCTCAGTGTCTGTTCCTCATCTGTTGGGTTAACTTCACGTGGCCACCCCCCTTCAGTGTGATTCATTCCACGTTGATCATACTGAGCCCTTATTGTGTTTACCTGGAAACAAGAAAATATAAATAAGATTTGAGCTTCTTCTGGTCATGATTATGTCGCTGGGAAGTGACGCCATATAGTCTAGTAGAAGTTTGGTGATATTTCAAAGGAACAGCCTGTCTCCATCTTCAGGATAGAAGCGTGAGTGATCATAGATGCAGGATATTCTTCCAAAAAGTTAGTTATCTTCTACCAGACTGCACCTAGCCACTTCAGAGAGGGGAGTATTTTCCATTAACGCTGTATATTTTATTTGACTTGAATATTTTTTATATCTGTTGCCTGTCAGCTTACAAATAACTAGACTGACAAAAACTTCAGAATTCTTTATAATATGTATTCAAAAAATGACACATATTTAGTCACGAATGCATAGAATCATGAAGGATACACCCACATTGTTTGATGTCCAGATTACATTTTAAAAACATGCATTTGAAGTATTTAAAATCATTTCTAAAACTTAATTTTTCAGCTCTCTTATCCCCTTGATTATGTTATTATGTGTTGCTGTGTTTGTTCTTGGTAGCTTCTTTAATATTTTTTTACTTCTATGTAACATGCGAACCCTATTTAGAGGTTAAACTATGAACTAAATTACACCTCTGTTCCCCCATTGGCTTATACCCATATGAAATTATATACAATAGACCATTCTAAGACTGCCTCAGCCCAAAATTTTATCTTCTCTCACCCCTGATGACATTTAAATTTTCATAAAAACAACTGGCCATCATTAAGGCATGTTCCAGTTTTCTTAGCATAGCTGTATAACAAAATCTACATTTTTTTGGTACTGTGACAGGCCTGCATAAAATTTTATGACAGCTTCAAGGGGATTTTCTTTTCTTTCTTTCTCTTTTTTCATCAAAAATTAGAGAAATGAATTAGTCCTGATATAAGTATTATAGAACAGTGTTTCTCAATCATTGGGCCGTTGCCTGATACCAGACCCTCGTCTTATAAAAAAAATACTGGGCTGTGGTCTCACAAAGGTTGAGAAACACTGTTATATACATTAAAAGAGACATTCAGACCTCTGGAAAAGGAAGCTGAGAGGAAATATGTTTTGAGCAATAAATTAATTCAAATTATTCAGACACTCTTAAATCATGGTATGATAGATGAAAGGACTGAATTAACTCATGTGTGTGTGCATCATTTTCATTATATTTTATCTGTTATTGGTATTGGTTTTGTAATCAAGTTCCTTCATATACTAATGAGGCCAATATTGCTTCTAAAATATTTACCACTGTGGAAGAATAATATTAAAGTAGATATTTGAAGAGTAGCTTATGAAGATGTGAACTAAATATGAATTGGCCCTGATAGGATATACTGATTAATCTTTCATGAAAGGAGACATTTTCCTTTCAGCTATGTAACAATCAATGATTAATCCTATCGCTCAATATTTGCATTTAATGAGAGTAGGGTCTTTAGCTTATGACTTTATTATGCCATTAACTGTTTAATAATCGGCTGCAACAGGCGAATGAATTGAACAATTTATGTAACCTGAGATTCATAAGAAAGTTATACAATGGCTGGTATAGTGGGCAAAAAAAAAAAGAAAAAAAAAGGAAAATATTTTGACCGTGGCCCTGTCACTTTTAACACGTATTAAAAGTATTGGAAATACTTTTAACAAATCACCTCATGTTCTGCAAGGACGCTGCTGCACTGAGTGCTTCGGTTAACGGGATTCTTAAATATATATCCATTATGGAACTCTCTGTTAGGCATTATATTTTCCATTAATTTCGGGCCCTCGTCTACAAAGAAGCAGGGACGCCCGAACTCCGATCTCTTCTTCGTATAAACATACTGTACATCCATAATTAACTTCAATGATCAACATCTAAAACGAAAACGTTGTCTGTCAGTCCATTTTTAAGCAGTGCGTAAAAAATGGTATACTACGGTTATATTTATATTGGTTGCCATGGGAACAGCAGACTGCACACTCCCTACGGGAAAATCATCGGAATAATGACACCCGTGACTTCTAGCTTGTGGGCACGGATATCAGTAGACGGGAATTAGTAATTATTATACACTGATCCGTGATACTGAGAGCTATGAACGCTATAAGAGAGCACTATCGAATAATCTTGCCGCCTGCTTTATGCTGGTTTCTCACTTGACTTACCCTTCGATTCTGGAGGTTGTAGCAGAAAGTTCTCCGAAGCGCCTCTTGAATGACAAAAGATACGGCGATATATATTAGTAGAATGAATTCATACGATTATTTGAAAAGAAAACAGCCTCATACTCGTATCATCACTTCCATGGACTTTGTGATCATCCATCACTTATCGATAATTTAACTTACTAACTTCATGGAGCTGAGCCTTTCTTGTGAAACCGCCAGTTGAGTAGCTACTCAGGAACTTTCCAACATTTTATTGAACCCGAAGGTTCATTACCCTGTTGAAAAGAACTCTCCACTGGTCTCTATCCTGAACCAGTTCAATCCAGTCCATTCCACCCCATTCTATCTCTCTGAGATCCATTTTAATTTTATCCGTCCACCTACGTCTTGGTCTTCCTAGTGCTCTCCTGTCTTCTGGCTTTCTCGTCAGCATATGTGCATTTATCTTTTCCCCATTTGTGCTACATGCCCTACCCATCTCATCCTCCTTGACTTGATCATTCTAATAATGGCGAAGAGTTCAAGTTATGAAGTTCGTCAGAGTGCAGTGCAGTTGTCGAATCCGATGACGCGGAGAGACTACCACGTAAAACTATAACAAATGTTTATTGCTATTATAACGGATATTACAGACGATGAGGGAAGCAGAGCATGCCCGAAGAATACTGGCGAAAACTCCCTTCATAGCCGACTAGCCTCAGTTGGTGACAGTATTCTTCCCTGCAGCAGCCAGCCGGCGGGATTCCATGCGAGGCATTCGAATCTCTTGCAGTAGCTTGCAGTTATGGGCTAGTTGGTGCTAGTGACGCTAGTGACCGCTAGTGACGCTAGTGGCGGGGAAGCGGCTAGACCGGCTAGACCGGGCTAGACGGTAACAACGGTAACGACCGGTAACGACGGAAACATCACGGTCGTATCCGGTCATATCTGTTACTTTCTTTGAGGTTGTTTGAGCGTGTGGAGGTTATTCATAACGCGATGTAATTCGTGCCATTTCTTTTGACAGTTCGTGTGTTGTTGTTATTAGTGCGCTTCTCTAGAAGTTATGGGTGGTAAATTCGAGTAGGATATTCTGTGATGAAATCAAACATAAAATATGTTGAGCAGATATTTAAATTATATCCTGATCCGACTTGGCTTTAAAACTGGTATAAAAAGGTTAGCTTTTTAATCATAGTTTGGTATGAACCTAAAGTTCGTACATGCTGTTTATTTTGCCTGTGAATCATTTGAAATGAATTTTGACAAAGGTAACGGGTATTAGTATTTATTACTACAGTTCTAGAAATGTTGGCGTCGTTCGCAGTTTGACATGCCTCGCGTAATTTTCCCAGTGTTTAAATAGAAACAGTGTTGTGATATCTAGTAAATATGCGTGTCCTAGGTTTATTACGTATCGCATGGAGACGACACGACTTACACATTTTTTTTAATCAGCTGTGCCCTTTAATTTATTTCGATAAAGTTTTAGTTATCGATTGTTGAAAAAAACGTTGAAAGCCGCGGGCTTTATTGACTGTTTCTTTTGAATGAAGTTAAGGAGGGCTGAAAAGTTGAATGTATCATTGTTGTAATAAAGTTTAACGTTGTTTAATTATCAGTAATCATGTATAAAAGAATTCTGTTACGAGATGCCGTTATGTTTTGGAATCGCGGTGAGACGTGGAGGTATGTGTAAATCGCTTATCAAAGTTGGACCAAGGATTAAAAGGAAACTATTTCTTTCGTAAGGCCCCCCGCAGTTTTTAACAGGGCATGAACTGCATAGGAAATAGATTAGTGATGGTTTCCTATGTGTGCCAGAACAGGGCCAAATTGCGATATTTACGTTGATCTCAAGGCTCTGCCCTAATCCACATTTTACAAAGCTCTGAAAGAAAACGGAACTGCACCATTCCATGTTTCAGTATAAGTGCTTATACTGGTACACAGTTGGCCCCTACAGATTTTATATGTTGGAATCCCGTGCCACTCACTGTTTTACATTTGTATCCAGCATTGTCAGCTGCAGTGTTTTGTTTTACTTGTCTAGAGTTTTTAATTTGAGTATGCATGGGTATGTTGATTGTTTCCACATCAGGACATCCTTGGACTGGGGCTGTAATGATGTCCAAAACCAGTTTCTTGCATTCAGATTATAATTGTGACAGTTCTTCATTTTATGTCTAATGTTATGTGTTTTATTTTGTGTTTAGTGTAGTGAAGGAACAGGCAACTTAAGACTTTAATGGGTGTTAACAGAAATTGCAGTTGCACCCAGTTTCCTAGAAGGCATTTTTTTTTTTGCCATCTGCATCAGTTTTCAGGAATATATGCTCTGTTGCTGATATTGATTCTGTAATTTCATTCAGCATATTCATGTCCTATAGCCATTGTACAGGGCAGAAGGGAAAGAGGTGTTGAACTGGATATCTCTATTAGAGCACATTGGTATAAACATCAGTGAGATTAAAAAATATCTTATTTATGGTGACGAAGAATAAAACTTCAGCATTTCCCTAATTATTCAATCACAGCTTTAAATCTTAATGTTCATGCAGACAGTACTAGTGCCAAAGTCAAGAAAATGTGGATCTATACATCCACTCCCTCATACGCCTTCATGGCATAGTGCTTGATTAGTTAAGCACAGAGGCAACTTTACCTTTTTACCTCTTTTACACTGTAACAAGTATAGAATAATAAACTGCATCATTAATATGCTGATTGGTTTGGATGTGAATTAAAGAATCCTAGCATTTTCGTAGATGGACTTGGATGAGCAATGAAAAAATCTCAGATTATGTATGTTTAGTTATTTGAGGAAAATAATTCCATTTTTATTTTCATCATATACTCCTTTCTTCCTGACCTTTATCACTTTCATTGGTTTTCCTTCTTCCATCTTACCTTTCTTATACTTTTATGGTGTCCGTGACGTTACGTGGAATGTTCCCTGGCTGTCTTGTGAAGAGTGTAACATTCAATGAATTTAGGTAGACAGTATTCCAATGCTCTTTTTTTTTTGGTGACTTAAATACAAAGAAGGCCTTAACTTTCTGAATTAAAAGAAGTCACACACACACACATGTTCCTGGAAGCCCATATACTTACACATAAAACAAAGATCATGATAGGTTCTAAATGTAATATAATTTTGATATGTGCATATTAAAAATGTTGACTTCAAAATCACTGAAAATATGCTATTACAGAAGAATAGCAGTCCCCAGTATTAGTGCCATTTCTCAGTGAAAGCACTGTGTTCTCTTTCTCTGTTGATGCAAACATTACAGATAATAGCTTTTATGTATACGGTTATCATAAAATGGACTGATTTTCTTAAATCCCTAATTCTTAGTTTTCACTTCATTATATGCCTATGTTTATGCGGAAAAGAAATGTGTCTTTTGATCCTGAAATAACCTGTTCAGCAGTCACAGTCATATGCTTCTTATGATTTCCCTTCATTGGGCTTAAATTTAGGAGATCTGCATGTTGGATCACTAGCAGCACAGTGTATCTTGTTTTGTTTCCATCTAATTTCTCTTTTTTCCTGTAATACTTTCAGCCTTTAGGCTGTCTTGTTTCCTTTGTTCTCTTTACCTCTAGGTATGATTTTTAAGTTTGTTTGACTATCCTGGTCATACACGAAATGGCTAAGATGAATGCAGGAATACACATTTTATATGAGAGCACTCAGTAGGCCTACCTGGGAGAGATAGTCTGCAGTATTTCACTCTTGGATCTACTATATTTTGTTTCTAAATCTAGTAAAATGTCACTCAGTGAAACAACTCATTTTCATGAAAGAATTAATGCTGAGTTATAAAACTCACAAGAGAAAAGTACAAATTGATAGAGATTATTGTGCCAATCAGTTTGACTCTCACAAAGTGTGAGTCGGTATTATGGCACTACCAGTGGTCACCAGACTTTTGTCTTTTCCTACAGTTGGTAGTACATATGATATTTTAAACAAAATTATATGAGAAATTACAACAGTGGGAGTGGCTTTGTATAAAATGGATTTAATGAAACTGTTTATGTACTACACAGTCTGTCAACAACACAACAAATTGTTCCTTCTTTCTTACACTTTCACTTTTGACACATGTCTTGGCACTAAATGACCATCTTCAGGTGTATTACTATGCTAAAACTGCTACACTGCATTAATATCGTCCAATCGTCAAAAGTGAAAGTGTAAGAAAGAAGGAACAATTTGTTGCGTTGTTGACGGACTGCGTAGTACATAAACAGTTATAGATATAGTAATGCAACAGGATGCTTAAATACAGGATTGTATTTAATGAGTATTGTTTTTGCACTTTTACATTATATTTATATTTTAGGACCATAGATGAAACAGAGGAGGATGATGACATAAAGGAGCGATATTCTAAACAGAGGAGAATTGATAAAACTGATGAGCAGCATTTTCTCACATCTGATCGTAAGTAAAATTTTATTTTGGATGTAATTCTTACATGTTAAAGATGAAAAAGGGTATTTTATATTATGTGAGGCATGGATTGGTTGAATAAGTCCAGTATACCACAATGTATGAACAGAGCACAATTTTGCTTGTCTATCAAACAATGTTTAACACTGGTACTTTAACTTCTAGCTATTGTAACTTGTAATTTTACTGTATAAAACTTGATAAGTTTCCAGTTACTATTATTACTGCCATCACCACCACCACTGGTGCCTTTCTTTTTACGTTTATCTCTTGTTCTTCCCTCCTTTCCTCTTATCAGCTTAGGTTAGGTTTTGCTGAGACTCTGCTTGTTTCTGTATAAAGTCTCATTTTCTTTCATCAAAATTCTGCGATTGTTCATTAAAGCAGCAGACTTATCTTGGGTCATCCTGTGTTAACATGCTTTGTTTTAGGTTAGAAGTTAAGTTCCAGCTGCTGTCAGCCTTCCTTTATTCTTTCAAAATTTTACACTATTATACAGCTGTATAACAATGGTCATAATAATGAACACTGTAAGATTAATCTTAATTGTTACTTCGTGAAGACTGTAGGTGTATATCATCTCTCCACCATTTCATTAGATGTCTTAGACCTCTTCACCTCTGTTGGTCTGTATTTCAGTGGCTGATTTAGTGTTTTGTGTTGAGATTGTGTATTTCTTGTATTTTTTTTTACCTCTCTGTGACTGTTAATATTTGAAACATTTAATTTTTGTGTCTATTTTATTAGTGATCCAAGTGTTGTAAGGTTGCAGATACTTCATTTGTGCTACTTCCAGTCTTTCACTGTCTATTTTTTTTAAATACTCAGGCTTCATTTGCTGTCATTATGTATTTTCTGTTTCTGTCAAACTTATTCTTAATACCTTCTGGTAATTAAATGATACTGTGTTTACAAACACTGAGTATCATTGCTGGCAGTAGTGTTCCCAGCCAGCACATAGCAGCAGATGTATGAGTGGTATTGCTCTTGAAAAATTTGATATATTTCTTACAAGTCGTCTTCTTACAGAGTTCTTGCGTCCTTCTCCTAGTTGGAGGATGCCAAAAAAGAGGCCAGTTTTTAGTTGTCGACAGCAACAGAGAAGTATGGTAAGCATAATTTTATGTAATTATGTAATAATATCACATTAACTTTCTTACTTCAATAAAACACTAATAAAACACTGTAGTAGGAAAAATTAAAATGTGTTCTTTCTTACAAATGTTTCAGTCTGTCTGTGGTACTGTGGACAACCTTTTGGCTTCTGATCTTGAAACATGTTTCTTTGTCATGCTTTCTCTCATTCTATTCTCATAGCCTGATATGCTGTGAACTTTGTCATGAACGTGCTGAGAGCTAGAAATGCATTATAAACATCTAGTATATACATACAGCATTCAAATTCAGTACTGCCTATAGTTTTGTAACTATTAGAATAAGAAATATAATCATATTCCAGGTAAATATCTAACTTACTCCTTCTGCTGTTAGACACCACAGACAGAAATAGAGAAAGATGCAGTTTGGACAGAAAAGAGGGCAAGGGAAACAGATTCTGTTGACAAGTTGGTTTGTTCTCACATTGCCATCCGTTATGGTTCTGATAGGTTGACTAGCTCATGTGGTGCTGCACAATGCAAAAACAATTATCTGAAAATCCTCAAAGTTTGAGACACAAAAATGAATATTGAAATTGGGTCAAGATTTTTTCTCAGTTCAATCCCAAAAATTCAAGATTTGCAGAAGCCTGTTTTTAGCATACTTTCTTTGCTTTGAAAAAATAAAAGTACCCTTACAAGATCACTTTACTGCCTGTATGTGTGTATAATCCCCCCCCCCCACCAACTTTTGAATGCCTGAACCAGGCTTTATGAAAATTGTTATGTATGTCATGGCACTTGAGCTCATCTCAGTAGTGTACTTCATAAATTGCTCCCTGAATGAGCATCAGTGGAGTTACATGATTGGATTTTGATGCTTTCTGGGTAACAGTGACTGTCCTAGAGTTTATTTTCGTAACTAACTCACAGCAAGAAAATATAATGGAAGTCTATGTACAGCCATGAACAAAATTCTAGTGGTACGGTTGTTGTAGGCTAGTGAGAAGTAATTGTCATGACACCATGACATGTAGTCAGCTGGATTTTTCATATCCATTATAACTGCAGTGCATGACTGTTTGAATTGTGTAGATTGTACATGTAGACATAGTATATGATTGATTAATTTTTGTAGTATGCATTGCAGCCAGCTGTTCATGTACATGCTCCCCAGCCAGGATGTTCCTGGTTTGAAGATCACAAGGAAAGCATTATTGAAGTGTCAGATGATGAGGTATGTTTTGATTAAGACCTGTGTTATATTTGCTAATGCCATGGAGCTGAGTGCTCTGGAAGCTGATACTTGTTTGTCTAGTCAAGAAGTTCCCCTTCATTCGTGGAATATTCATTGTCATGTTCACAGGAGCCTGCTACAAGTTCTTATCTTGTGCCGCATGAATCAAAGTCACATTTTCAGATTCTGTTTCTTTAAGATTCATTTTAATGTTGTGTTTCCATGTACAATTAAATTTTCCCAGTGATGGTCTGTGGCCTTCATTTTATGTTACTAAAATTTTATGTGCATTTCTCATCTCTCCCATGAATGCAACATGCCCTCTTCATCTCATCCTGCTTGATTTCATCACCCTGATAATGTATGTAAAGAGTACAAATTATTAAACTCCACATTTGGTAATTTTCTCCAATCTCCTGTTACTCTTTCCCTTTTAGGTCCAAAGATTCTCCTCAGAATATTGTTTTCAAATATTCAAAAATACATTTGTCTTTTAATGTTACAATCTTCAATGCTCAGACAAAACAGCAGACCAGAGTTTAAAGAGTTCTGTCTTTTGGGATATAAGAGCATGTAGTCTGCTGAAAGTCACCTGTTATTTCAGGGGAATGCATTGCCTCTATCTTTAGGGTTGAAGAGTGATCCAGGCAAGAAACCAGCATTAAGCAGGTGGCGAGCAGAGTAAACCATATGCAGAAAGATCAGAACTTACAGGCTAGGAGGGAATTTGTAAGACAAGAAGTCTGCTCCCGTTGACTGTCCCTGGCCAACAGAGTAAACCAGTAGGAGGCAGAAGAAGAGCAAATAACTACTCCATTCCCTGAAAAGGGCTATTTTGCCACTTGGACATGGCAACACAAGAGAGAAGTTGTGTTTGTGGTATAGGCCTTGTCCTTTTCAGCTTCTTAGTTGCTCTACTTGCCGTCTGCTTCATGCTGCTTTTTTTGCTTCAGTTACTCCTCAGTCCTGAAGATAGAGGTGAGATGTTTCTCTAGAAGTCTGTTGACTTTCACTGGACTACCCAACATTAATATTCACTGCTGTGAGGACCTCAAATCCAGTATAATTCTTCTTTCTTTGTATGTTCACATTCATTGTATTTACAAATTATGTTCATGCCACCCTGTTCTTAATTTGTAACTGAATATTCCTGACACTTTCAAGAAATATTCATAATTGCATTTTAAAAATTCAGTGCAGTAAACTGAAATATTTCTCCATTATATACGTGTAGTGGGTAAAAAATTATAGTGTATGGTTTAGTACCATGTTTGTATTATGCTTATGTTAATTAAATCTTACTCATAATCTGCAATGCTGTGTCAGGATGTAGATGTCTTGGGAGAGTGGCAGGATGTCAAGACATTGAAGAAACGTCCAGTGTACAAGACAGCTAGTGATATTAAAAAGACAGGAGTTTCTGTAAATGTTGACAGATCTGAGGAAGATGATGTTCAAGTTGTCAAAGTGGTGGATTCTCATAGTGATGAAATTTCACGAAGTGGGAATACCAGTGAGTATTTTTTCTTCTCTTTACTATAAAGTGATGTTTAATGCTCTGAACCTAAATGGCCTAAAATGTCCCGTGGCTGTTAGCTAGACGTTACAAATCACGGCAGGCAAATCAAAAGACATGATAAAGAATGCTGTTTTTCATGCTTAAAAGTGTTTTTCTTTTTCATGCCCGACTTTGTATGTGAACTAGAGAAAGGGTAAACTGGAAGTATTAATGCAACAATCCTATTTGGTATAGGCTGTCCAATTCCAGAGAAAGCCATTTCACATTAGAATGAATACAAATACAACAGAATGAAATTATTTAAAAGAGGTAGTAGAGATTAGGAGTTTGTTATTATACAGGGTGGTTCAAATATGACCAGGACTGATTTGTGTGTAAACAAGCTGCACTGCGCAGCAGCTGTGCGACCTTGAGAGAGTGAAGCCACAACCTCCATCCTCCCTCCTGTTTGGGTTAGAACCTGCTCAGTCCTGTCTGGGAGTTGTTAGAGTGATGAGCAAACAGAAGGTCTCCTTGTTGGAGAAAACGTCCCGTCCACTGAAATTCATCACAGACTCCAGCACCAGTATGGGGAAGAGTGTCTCTCATGGACCCGTGTATTTGAGTGGTGTAAGTGCTTCAGAGAGGGCAGAGAGCGCGTGGAGAATGAACCACATGATTGTCAGCCACAAACATCCGTCACCGAGCGAAACATTGATCGTACAGGCACACTTATGCATGAGCACATCATTTGGCTCTGGTTTGCAGATGCTTTACATGTGGTAGTCGCTGCCTTATGTTCTGGATTCACTTTCTGTAATCTTTAGGGCATAATTTTGTGTACCCACTGTTGTTCCTGCAGGACTTACTGTGGATTGTGTTATGAATTCAGATCCAACATCAGTTGGTAGTCCTGCCATTCGCTTCAAAAACTGACCTAATTTCAGTTTTCGAATGAAAGTTTGTTCGCTCAAGTTTGAAGCTTGGCCAAGACACTGGCTATCCTGATCGAAATTCTATGCGGTTTTCCTCAGTCCTTCCTGGCAAATTCCTGAAAAGTGTCTTAAATTAGGCCATAGTCGTTTCCTTCAACATCCTTTCCAATTAACAATTCACTGTCCAGTAATTTGATGCTGTATAATTGGAGTTACTGTCATTAAATATGAGTAAGCTAAAAATAAACAACAATGACATAAGATCATTGTGCATCCACAAGCTTATATATGCTACGGTACCATATTTTCCCAGAAGTCAATGAAACATGTTCATTATTGTATCTATTCGTTTTAATTTGCAAATATAATATGACCCCCCCCCCCAAAATGAATTGAAAGTAAATGTTAAAAGACCTTATTAGTTGAATAAATATAATACTTAACAAATATGTTTTCTTATCAAAGGTTTTATGAGGCTAAAGTTCAATTTTGAAACTGTTAAATGTGAATTTGTTCCTATTTCTAATAGGATGAAACATTACTTATATTTTAAGTTATTTTATTGTGACTTAATTTTGAATTAAGACTGGCATGGTGGTAAACACAATTTTTTCTCTGCCATCTAATATAAAATTGAATCTTTCAGTCTCCATTTTCCAAACACCATCTGCAAGACCTTCATTATCATCAAGGCATTTTAATGCAGATTCAGGCACCTCAAAGAAAAGTCAAGTTCTCCTGCAGTGCCTGAAATCACATTCAAAGTTCAGTCAAGATGGTAATGGAAGCCATAGTGGGACATCCTCCAGATCCAGTCGCACGGAAGAGAAGAGACCACCGAAACTTGCTCTCAATGAGGTAAACAGTTGCAAAATAATTATTTCATAAAGTTGAGCATGTGGAGCTCATAGAGTTACAATTTGCCTGCTAATTATACAATAAATTTTGGGATGAACATATTGTCACATGTATGAGTGTGACTGTAAACAGGATTTGGATTGATGGTTGATTTTATTGGACTCTCTGACACAGTGCATGACTGCACTTTACAGTTTACTATTACGCACATACATAAGTGTCACAGTCACACCTTTACTAGCCATTGCTTGGTAATGGTTTCCAACTACTGACATTCCCCTTTCTCTGGGTTCCCAAACTATCCCCTGCCTCAGCTACCAGCTTCTCACAGCAACAGCTCACAATGACTGAGCCTCAGCAATTCTCTGACTAACTCAGTCACTCACCAACCAAGTGACTCACTAACCAACTCTTATGACATTTTGGCACAGACTACTCAGAAAACTCCATTTCTCTGTTTCTGTGTACAGGCCATTGCCTAGTTGTTTGTTTTGTGGTCTTTGCTTAGCAGTGGGTCTGCATCCTGCAATATGATGTCTGGTTTCCTTCATATGTTTCAGTCTGTATAGTAGAAATGTACAGGACCCAAATTTTGAAAGCCTTGAATTTTCTGATGCTGCCTTTGCTTTGCACATTAGGGTCATGTCAGACAGAATTGTAATCACAGGTCTCTCCAAAAGTGATGGTCATAGGATTGAAGTAGACAGAAGGGAGGATGAGTAAGAAGTTATAGATGTTGGCAGTGAACATGAGAGTTTGAGCAGTAAATGTGAGACAGAAGATGGAAATTGAAAAAAAACATTGAAGCTGAGGCATGTGATAGAAACGGTGAAGCTGAATAAGGGCTAGTGACTTTGTGCAGATGTATTTGGTAATGCAGAGACGTCCCATTCACGTAAATGTGGTAGTACACCAGCACATTCTGAAGAAGTGGCAAATATTATAGATTATTACAGTGGAAAAATTGCTGTAATAGAGGAAATGCTTGAAACACTTGCAGATGCTCATCTTGATCTGGTCTCAGACTGAAAAGTAATGTTTACATACGAGGGGGGACCCAAAAATAACCGGAAACGACCTGTTGCGCGCGCATGCTTTGTAGTTACGAGTTGTGCTGCTAGGTGGTGTTAGCTGGGGGTCTCCCGCGACTGTTAGTGAGCTGGCGTCAGTCTGAGTTAAGTGGTTTGTCTGTGGTGCTCTGTTGTGTGCGTTCCTGTTTCAACCCTTTGGCGATTAGTGAGATGGCCGACCAGAAGGAACAAAGAGTGTGCGTGAAATTTTGCTTTCTGTTAGGGAAAACTGCACTTCACTCTTCAAGTCACGGCAAACATTCACGCGGTTTTCTCTTTGGTCATCTCCGAGCAAGCGAGGAACAAATTTTGCAGACACCCGTCTCATGTGCAAACCTTCGGTTAAAATTCGCTGGACCATGCTCCATGAGATGTTCGTTTCCTCAGAAAGTTGGTCAATGGTCTTTCGACGATCTTCATCAATTTCACGCACACTCTTTGTTCCTTCTGGTCGGCCATCTCACTAATCGCCAAAGGGTTGAAACAGGAACGCACACAACAGAGCACCACAGACAAACCACTTAACTCAGACTGACGCCAGCTCACTAACAGTCACGGGAGACCCCCAGCTAACACCACCTAGCAGCACAACTCGTAACTACAAAGCATGCGCGCGCAACAGGTCGTTTCCGGTTATTTTTGGGTCCCCCTTCATATGCTTATTGTATACCTGGTCTTTCAAGAACTGCTAAAGTAACAACATACACAACTTGCTGATACATTTGTATGCATAAGTGATGCCAGGACAAGTTAAGACTGCTCTGTCACATATGGCCTTAGTTTTGTATTCTCTCTGTATTTGTAAGTGTTGTTTGTACAGAATTTGTAGATATGTTAATGTTTATTCCATACAAAACTTCACATTCAGGCTCTCTTGAAAACAGGAGTGAACCTTCAGGTTCTATAAAAGGTGGATATTATCATGTGTAGCTGAGAAACTGTCAGTATGTTAATGACTGTACTTCATATAATTAGTTTATCACATAATAACTCTGAAATGTGAGATTCACTCAGCACTGGAAGTTAAGGTCATGGTCTTCCAGGATGTGACTACATGTACACATAGATACTGTCATGTGTTGGGTGTGTGTCACGCAACAAATAATTTCACGCCGTATTGAATACTGAATTTATTCCACTCGCTCTCACAATTATACAATTTACAATCTCACAATTACTGCCATCAGCAGTATCACAAATACTTCTCCTGTTTCCATTCACTCCGGTGGATGCTAGCCTGCAATTGGCTCTCGGCAACTTCACGATCCACACTGTGTCACTCCTGACCACACACTCTCCTCACATACTGCTCAGCCGGCTTTTTATACCGTTCCCTGTTGCCTCGTGTTACCAGCGGTGTCCCCTTGTTACGTCACAGTGGGAAGTGCTGTTACGTCACCGTGGGGGAGGTGGACAGAGTGTTGACTGGCCTGTTACTGTAGCAGCGGCAGTTGCTCTTCTGTTATGTCACCGCCAGTGAGGGGATGTTTACCGAGCATTGCGTAATGATGGAAGGAGTGAGGGTATGTGACGTCACTCGTGAGACCACAGAGTTCACATGACCCCTACTTCCTCTTGCGCCATCCATGTCACAATACGTACCTCTCTACTAAGGTACATGACATCATATCTGAGAGGACTGTGACCTTAAGAAGATTATGTATACAGATGTTTACAGAGCGTTTCTTATATTTAATATGCTTGATATTCTTTCCTTTCAGAGTATCCGACTCGAGGAGAAAAGGCAGTACATAGAACTTCTGCAGAGATTCACTAGTGTCCCCCTTCAAGTGCAAAGTAGGCATCATGGAGCAATCAGGAATCCATGGTACTTATATATTTTTTTAATTGAACCATTTATGCAGCTACTCAAGAGATTTCATAACATTTTATGGAACCTGAAGGTTCATTACCATGTTGACAAGAGCCCTCCACTGTTCTCTTTCCTGATGCATACCCTTAATGTATGCTTAAAAAAAAAGAAGGAATTTGTGCTAAAGGCTGAAAGTTAAATACAGAGTATACCCTCATGCTAAGGAAGGGAAGTATTCTTGAAAATGTGGCTGGATCATGGAATTCCATATATCAAGCCCTGCTTTTTGTGGCTGAATTTACTGTTGTTTTGTAGTTTGTGTTTAAAATTTGTTAATATCCAAAATTTCTGTGAAGGCAGATCTGTGGATCTGAAATTCTGTTATCAAACATTTGTAAGATGGGGACACACTGCATATTACTCTAGGTAAGTATGGTGTGCCCTTTCTCATTTTTGGTTGATGAGTAATTAAAGTTATATCTGTGTTTCAGTGCCAGAACAGTTCAGGACAGAGGTGGAAATTTACAGTATTCTGACTTTGCTGGACAAGCCAGGGAGAAAGTAGGCAAAGAATGTCCTGTTATAATTGATCTAACCAAATCACAGCTAAGCAGGCCTTTCTCTGGGAAGCACATAGAAGTGCGCAGGGACCGAGAAGCAGAGCCCTACACTGCAAGTAAGTTTCTGATGGTTTGGTAGGAGAATCCCCAGGTTCAGCATCACTATTGCACATGAATCTGAACCAGTTTAGTTCGTTTTACATTCTCACTGTTTGTTTCCATAAGAGCCATCTTGCTGTAATTCTTCTGTCTCCTCCTAAGTCTCAGGTATGCTTTCCAAGATGTTTTCTTACCGAAATGCACAGCACGCATAAGGGGTAGGCTTATACTGTCCCTTGCACCATAACTTTCAGTGGTCTGTTGTGCATAAATGCATGGCTTGGATGACCATCAAAGATGTTTGAAAATTACCTCATACAACTAGATAGATAAGACCTTGCTGAAAGTCGCAAAATCTTGCTTTTTATTGATCAGTGTCTTGCTCATGTGAAGAGTACAAAATCTTTCAGCAACATCAAAATTACATTTCATCCAACTGCCCATACCACCCAGCCACCTTTAGATTTGAGAATCATTTGTGCATTCAAGTGCCATTACAGAAAACTGCTGCTTCAAAAGACTGTAGCTGGATATATCATTTGCAGTGCACTTCATAGCACAGGCTTGAGCATTGTTAACACCCACAACAATCAAGAGCTGCTTTGTTAAGTGTGGTTTCTTAATTGATCATATCACCAGCAATGATGATGGTGCAGTGAGAGTTACTGAAAATGAAGAGGATGACTGGCTTAGTATATAAACTCTTGGAATGCAGTTTGAGGACTATATGATACGTGACAGTGCTCTTGAAGTTTGTGGGATTCATTGTTGACAAATCAGCGGTTGACTAGACGAGAAGAAGAAGAGGAAGTTGCAGAACATAAACTAACATTCTTGAATGCATTAAGAGACTGGAAGCGGCCGAAACATGCCTTGCAGTTTGATACTGAGAATGGCATTACTGTAGTGCAAAGCAAAGTTGAAAATGAGCTATACAGACTGACAACTCAAAAGAGATACAAAAGAAAACTCTTACTAACTGGCTAAACACTTGCAGCTAAGAAGGGAACACACATCACAAAACACGGTTTACACAGAAAATAAGAAAAACGACCCCACAGTGAATGAACCACACGCAAGTTTTAATTAAGACACAAGATAAATAATCTTAACAAGTTTTAGTGAGTGTAAACTTATAGTTGACAAATACACACTTTTTAAATACTTTTTAAATTGTGTTGTGAAGACATATGAGGGCAAACAATGCAATAGATTAACGTAATTAGGGCACCTGATGATGGCACTGTGTTGCCGAAACATGTCGTGAAGTAACAGGTGAAATTGAGTGCACTACAAGACGGCCACTGTATACATATCATGGCTAAAGAAATGATGTAACTAGGTATATACCATATTTGCCAGTCTGTCCAGGTGTTGCAGGGACAGTGCCTTGAAATAGGTAATGACCATTTTTAGACCGAACCGCTACAACCTAGCGACATCATCAACACAGGGAGCAGCCCATACACATATCAACATAAGAAAATCTAATATACATCACTCCAAATAAACAACCTGCTGGGTGACATACAGCATAACGAGCGTAAAGTCCACAAGACAATAGTAGGTCAAGACCACACGACCTAACTTATGTAAGAAGATCCCGATACGCACGCGCCCCACACTATAGTCGCTTCTACCAACAGAAACTCATGTCAACACATAGTGGTCACAAAATTTTAAAGAGACTTATCACATCATTTCCATTGTAGTACAATTTTAATTTTTATGTTTTAATCTTTAGTCCCTAATTTTTTCATTTTTATTATCTGAATACTTAAAATTTTAACTGAAAGACTCAATTTATGCATTTAAGAACTCTCAATTGCATAATAAGGATCCTTATTGAAGAATTAGATGTAAATTGTTAGATGCAATTCAACAACTGAGTCTGGTGTCATTGTCAAAACATGTAGCGTCAATAAAGACAAATGTTGATTCGATAGTGTCTGCTTTGTTTTAGTTACAGAATATTGTTGTGTAGGCTGCATACTTTTCTATACAGTCTATGTACCTTGTTTAATTACCATTTTCTTCCACATCCTTTCAATTCATCAGTTATAATTACCATCTCATCACCATTGCTACATAACCACAGCAGTTGTTGTGTTGTGAAATAAACCAAGAAGTGCATTTGTATTTACATTGCTAGTGTTCAAACATATGCATTTTAAATGATCTTCCATACTTATGGTATAAAGCAGACTACATTTTCCTTTTCGATGTGTCATTTTCTTTTCTCTAATCTTACACTTTGCTCAGTATTATACAAGGTGTGGCAATAAAGAACCCGGATTACTTTTATGACTCATTTCCGGCCACGTCATTGACGAAGAGGAGGGTAGGGCATTGACCCTTGGACTTCCCTCTACCGTCACACAAAGTTTCATTCACGTGCATCGGTTAGTCTGGCCGCGACCATTGTTAGAAGCGGATCGTGTTTCTGAGCTCCGTCGGAATAATGCTGAGTGCTAATGCAGAACAACGTGCTAACATCAAATTCCTCACAAAACTTGGAAAATCTGCCACTGAAACTTACAATTTGTTGACAGAAGTATATGGTGATCAGTGTCTATCTCGCACGCAAGTTTTCGAGTGGTTTA